AGGAGAAAGGGAGGGAGGACATGGCGCTGCCATGCGCCGGAGAGGAGGGTATAAGGGAGGGGGAGGTGGGGGAGGAGAGACTGAGAGAGAACGACCGTTTCAAGAGTAAGGTCTATATTCATGTTGACGTATTATTCTAACCTGATGTGGTGATTGTGATAACACCCACAATGGCTACAAAAACACCGAACGAGCACACTCGGTGCTGCCGGGGCAGCCGGAGTCGAGGGGCGGTAGAAGGGAGGGGGAGGGAAGGGGAGAGGAGAAAGGGAGGGAGAACATGGTGCTGCCATGCGCCGGAGAGAAGGGGTATAAGGAGGTATAACACATTCAATAGTGAGGTGGTTAATGGAGTACGTCATGCTGCTATTCCGTGGTTCCTCCCTACCCTGTGATGCGCGCGATAGCGGGCGGAGCAAAACTGGTTGAGCTATAAATGTTTGTAATAGGATAGTTGTGATAACACTCCTAGGGCTATATAAACACCTGCTTAGCACACTTCCGTTCATTCCACATGGTGCTGCAGTGGCAGCTGGAGGGCAGTGGAGGAGGGAGGATGGGAAGGGAAGCGAAAAATCTACCGTCATATCATGATTGTGTCCCTTCTACTGTATGAAACACCATTGTGTTGCATACGCGTCACTTCCACGAGGTGTTGGTGTCACAGGAGGAAGGGACCATAGCGGAGGATAGAAAGCTTGCGCAGGAAAGGAAGGTCCCGGCGGTTGACGGGGGACCAATCTGGTTTGTTATACACGGGCTAAGCCTTAGGCAGGATAAGAGAGACTCCATCGCGTGCAAGAGCAATTTTCATTCTCTACGAGGCCGCCCCCATTCTCTACGAGGCTGTCCCTCCTAGACTTAGTTCTGGGGATGCCCAGGTAGAAGCATCTAGCGTCTCTACTAATGCCACTAGATGACATGTTTGACACGGGCAAAAAATGAAGGCTGTAATTCACCGTATAGCAGGCTATAAGCCGAGTTCAGTTTGCGCTGATCAAATACATTGCCCATGCGTTAGGCTACTAGTCTACAAGGAACGGGAAACAAATCGATTAGGCAATCAGGCGATCGCTTAATGGGCAGCAACGAATCGATACGTATCCTTTTCTTATCGCCTGCTCACCTTCTCACCTACTCGCCTAATCGCTTTAATTGCCCATTGCCCTGATTCGAAACGTGCACTTTCTTTATAAATACCAGATTAGTCCCCCGTCAACCGCCGGGACCTTCCTTTCCTGCGCAAGCTTTCTATCCTCCGCTATGGTCCCTTCCTCCTGTGACACCAACACCTCCTGGAAGTGACGCGTATGCAACACAATGGTGTTTCATACAGTAGAAGGGACACAATCATGATATGACGGTAGATTTTTCGCTTCCCTTCCTCATCCTCCCTTCCTCTCTCCACTGCCCTCCAGCTGCCACTGCAGCACCATGTGGAATGAACGGAAGTGTGCTAAGCAGGTGTTTATATAGCCCTAAGAGTGTGTTCACAACTATCCTGCTACAAAACATTGATATCTCAAATCCTGTAAGCTACCCGATTTGTTAGCGGTTTGTTTATCCCATGAGAGCTTCCTTCTCACTCACTTCATTTTGCGGACGGACACACATACATACATACATACACACATACACACATACACACACACACACATACAGACATACAAACCGACACACAAAGTTAGCGCTTTATAAAATAGAAGGATCGCCAAATCGCATTACGATCGCTAACTCTGAACGCTGCTCAACGTTATGTTCCAGAAATGCTTCATATGATCGCTGTGCTATATTTCTTCGTCGAACATGTCACTTCGGAAATCACTCGTAAACAGTGGTCTTGTGGAGTTACTGATGCAATTGCTGACAGCTCATTCAAGCTTTTCACAGGAAAATGTGTAACCTATATGCGTAAGTGCAAAAATTAATCAAGGTTTCCATGGATGGGGAAAGTTTCCTTCGCGTAGGGTCACGTGCAGTTGAGTGCAGGTGAGGGGGCTCACCGCGCGACAGAAGTGGTATCTTCACGCGGGTGGCATTAGCGCTCATGTCTCAGGTGGGCGGAGATGGTGGATTGAAGTGAATGGACACAGTGTCAACTTGGGGACTATGTCTTATGCAAGGAGAGAGAGATGTGAGCACCAGATTTGTCTAGTACCTTGAGTCCCAGAATCCTGGGCTTAAATCCTGGTTTCACCTACCAACAGTTTTTGAATGCCCTTTTTCAAATGTCCCCCTTAGGACATCAGCGCCGGCACTTGCTATGAAAGGGGCCGCCTGCGGTCATCTGGTGAGGGCTGGGTAAAGTACAGCTGCATCACGAGTTCCCTAATCCCTGAATTAGTGCACTAGAGTGGAGAAATGGGCAACAGAGAAGGACGATTGCATCGCGGCCGGAAACACGCAAGGCTTTCAGAACCACGACAAATATTTCTATTTTGAATACTTGCTCAGCCCAATTCTTGCTCAAACAGACCCTGGAGCTTCCTTCACTCTCGAAAATTGGATTGCTGTTTAGAAATGAAGCAAGGCGTCGTGATTCCCCCACTTTTTGATTGTCAACGGCTATCTTGGGCTGACGTTAATGTGCAAATCACCACCAGTATGCTGGATCATGGCCAAACTCTTCGCCCCAGGTGGGATCGAACCCTCACATCTCGCTTTCCGGGCAGTTGTGTTACCAATTACACCGAGACACCGCTTCACCTTAACCCAGCTTTTCATGGCTTATCTACTACCAGGTTGATTCTGCGGCAGTTGCCTCGACCTGCTCCTGCGCAAGCTTTACCCCTTCCACTGTGCACAAGGGAGGGGGGAGGGCATTAGGTGTGGCAGTTGCTGCCGTCTGAAGTGGTTAAATTTTTCGCAGGGACGGAAGCTCCGGGGTGGGGTTGTCGCACCTCGTGCCCCGCTCACTGAATGGGGCCCGTTATAATTGTTCTTGTTCTATGTATAAGTACAACTTTTTATAGCTCATGTCAACTTCTGCTGTGCTTCACACAAGGATTGCTACAAACTCCAATTAGGAGAGCATTATTGCAACGTTCGGTTGTGTCTTTGTCTTGAGGTAGGAGATCCTCCTCAGTAAAAGCTGTAGAGATGTCTGAGCTCACTTGGTATCCGCAATTCCTTGGATGAGAACTAGTTCAAATTTTGGTGACCCATAAAAAGAGCTATCTTTTCACAATGGCTTCATGAATGTTCATGCAGAAAGTTATTTCGGAAAAAAAGGAAAAAGATGGCTGTGAATATCCAATATATAGAAGTTGCACTGATGCAAGAATGCATGGAGAAGAACTTTATCAGACATTCAGTTAGTTTTATTGGTTTATCCATGATGTAGTAAGTGCCCTCTGGTTCAAAAAACGAGAAGAGCGTCGGGTGCAGACCATACACCACAAGTGACGACGGCCTCCAAGTAAATCTGGTTAGTAGTGGTTCATAGTGATAGCTGATTTTTGGTAAATGATAGTTGTAATTAGTGACAACTGATAGAATACAACTGCAACAGGCTAATCATTTCATTGGCAGAAAACATTACATTTTGTGGAGGCCGTCGTCACTTGTGGTGTATGGTCTGCACCCGACGCTCTTCTCGTTTTTGAAAGGGAGGTCAAAGGCTAGAGTAATCGTTTTTTTAGCACTTGTGATTTTTGTTTGGATTCCTTTGGGATTTGCATTCTCATGGTCCTTTTGACTGTAGATCATTTCGTACTTGCTCCTAAAATTTGAAACTGAATTGATCAACTTCGCCGAATTCTCACTACTCAACACTTTTGTAATAGCCTTCTACACGGGCGACATCAGAAGAGTTTGCCACGGTCATCGTGAATGGCTTCACATTCAAGGCCTCCTTGAACTTGACAGTTATGGTGCATGACTTCATCTGGAGATAGTGAAAGAAATGAACAAGAGCTAGCATCTGTACGAGGAGAGCCTTCTAGCAAGGCTTTGCTCCAAGAATCCCATCAATGTCAGCAAACTGTGCGCTGAAAATTTTTGCATATGCGTTATGAACAAGATGTGTTCTGTTGCGCCTTTCTCTCCCCTGCTTTATGTTTATCGCTTTTTTTGGACAAGACCGCGGGTCAGAGAAAAACTTTAATAAAAACAAAACAAGCCGGTCGTATACGGGATTGCATTGCTATCAAACTTCTTACATCCTAAAACTATACCGGATTGATCACTATTAGAAGGCAGTCCCACTAATGATTAAGGTAGAGATGGTCAATGTTGCCGGGATGGAGAAAAAAGCTTGAAAAACGGCCCAAACTTGAAAAATGGACCCCTCTTGCCCGTTGTGTTCCGCAGTTTTGTGACTACCATCGGTGCTCCCTCTTCAACGCCAACACTCGCTCCTTTAAGCGACTAAAGACTGTGAAGAAATGTTAGCCCGTCGAAGGCGGCCCGTGTCGAACTAGCGCGCATAGCGTCTTGTTATGAGTTCGCAGGCATATACGAATAGCTCGCCGTTTGAAACTGCGCGATAAATTCACTGAGCGTTGCGAATAACGCGAATCCTCGTTAATTTCGTGAATTCGTTATAAGTCGGGTCAGAGTGAAGTATTCCAGAAACGGAAAACACCGTTGAACTCAGCTCTTCAAGCGCTACAAGATGGTGCTAAAATATTTTCAGAAAGCTTGATTTCGGAATGCGCCATGCACTCGATTTTCATCTCAAAAAGTAGTTGCTCGCATGTGATGTGTATATAATCCCGCTTATGCGGGCTAACCGCTACACACAAAGAAGGGCCTCAAAACTTACCCCAGAATGCGCCACGTACTCAATCTCATCCACTACATTGTGAGATTAGATGAATGTTATTTTCCGAATTCTTAGATCTTCATTTCGTTTTAAGCGCTTACTGGCTTTACGTGTTCCCTCTGCTCTCAATATCCCATCCTCTGTATATCAAGTGGAATCTTTGAACAGTTCTCAGCAGGCATAGTGGGCCTATTATGTGACATTTTCCATTTTCAGAGGACATGTTTTGCAGAAAGCTGTGAAGATAGCGAACAATTTCCTTCACTGTCGTAGACTACGGTCACTTGTCTGTAAGGATTATATGGAAACCTTGGTCGCAGGTGAGCGTTTCTTCCGTGGTGTGACCCCAAACATCACCCCTTGTCATGCCTTTGCCCCCTATTACGTGACAAGTCCCATTTTTAGAGGAATGTTTTGTAGAAAGCTGTAAAGGAAGCGAAGAATTTCCTTCACTGTCGTAGACTATGGTCACTTGTCTGTAGGAATTATGTGGAAAACTCGGTCGCAAGTAAGCGTTCCTTCCGTGGTGTGGCCCCAAACATGCCTCCTCGTCATGCCCTTGTGGAATGTTCAGATTTTTTGCATTTCCAGATGAACTCGCAGACCTGAAATGTGCCCCGTTAGCTTCCCCGTGAAAAATGCTATCGAATGATATGCATTACTTCCCCAGTTGAAACTTTGGTTTTTCACCGTTTTCAGCCTTCCCCTATTGCCGGATTGGGCCCACGATTACTACCCCAAAATCTCAAAGTTTCATTTTTCGTCGAAACTTTGTCTATTGGGGTAATTCGATGCCCTGATTACGAATATGACATTCATTTTTGATGCTGGTGTCATTTGGCGCCATTTGGCTGCCACGGCTGTTTTCACCAAATCTGCTGAAACTTCGTCATTTGG